TGGGCTGGTTCCATTGATGACATGAGAAGCACTTCTGGATATTTATTCACACTTGGATCTGGGGCATTTTGTTGGAATTCAAAGAAGCAAGGAATTGTGGCACAATCAACGGCAGATATAGAATATGTAGCAGTAAATCAATTTGGTTAAGGAAAATCTTAAGTGATTTGAATCAAGTTCAAGTCAATCTTACTACAATTATGGTTGACAATCAATCTGCAATTGCTGTGGCAAAAAAATGCAGTAAATCATGGAAGAACAAAGCATATAATAGTAAAGTTTCATGCCATCAGACAAGTTGAGAAAGAAGGAGAAGTCAATCTGCAATTTTGTCCTCACAAGTTCAGTTGGCCGATTTGTTTACAAAGCCTTTAGCAAAAACTCGTTTTGATGATTTGAAGCATCAAGTTGGAGTGTTACACAAAAGTTTCAAGGAGGAGAATGAAGGATGTGAAGCTTTTATATAAAACTCCTAACTTATTTTATTATTTTGTCTACACTAGAAAGTATGTACATTGCAATGACCATGATGAATTGATTGATAATGTATTCAGTGGAAAAATGAAAAAAAAAAAACACTTGTTCCTTCTATTCTCTCCTCTGATGTTTTTGGTACTCTTTTGGTTCTCTTCTATTCTTGAAGTGTTAGAGGCGGATCTTGTTTAGAGCTCTTTCACACAAAAGAAAGTAGCTAACAAAGCTGAACAACGAGTGTATGCACATTTTCTTCTTTTCTATCTTCTTTCATGATCAGTTTTTTCATTGGAAGATGTTTTACAGGCGTAGTATATGCAGTTCTCCTAATTTATTTGCCGCACACTTCCAATGGTAATGTAAAATGATTTTTTATATTTAGGTCATATTCAGTTTGTTGATTTGTTAAGTTCTTGATTTTTCCATATTTTTACTGCTCCGGCATGATAGAAAAACCAAGCCTTCAGGCTATCATGTCAATGCCTAATCTGTGTTAGAAGAGCAAAAATGTAACAGCTCCAAGCTTCAGAGCTAAATCCTGTTCATGCCTAGCACTCGTCAGAGTCGAGCCTTCAAAATTATTCTGAAACACGTTTCAAACTGACTGAAGGAGACTCAAGGGGAAAGCTCTTGTTCTTAGTCTAACATAGAAACTGCGGCTGATCCACCAGCTAAATGACGATATTAACCTTCTCATCTATCATTGGTATCTGCAAAGCTGCGAAATAATATGTAGAAAGACAAAAATCAGGCCTTTTTGGTACAGTGGATTAAACACTATTTGTGAGTTATCGTATCCAGTCCTACCGAGTGAATTTAGTGATCCTTAGCTTACGAGTTTAAGAATATCCATTTTTATGTTATCTTTCAACATTTGAAATCCAACTTTAACTACTAGACAAAACAACGTAATATTCAGCAGCCATACCCCTGCTTGTTTGGCGAATTCTCCAAAGTTTCATCACTTTTTTTATATATCCCAGTTGCTTTGAAATAAAGATCCTGTCAAATATTGTACAAAAACAACAGTACATGTCATAAGATGATATAATGAAGTGGATTTATACCTTATTCTGCACTTTTGATAAGTGACTCAAAATGGAATGTGAAAAACAAGGTAAAAAGTGAAATTAATCATATCGACTACTCGATTATGTTTTGTTCGTTCTTATATCTACCGTAAGATCTCACATTAGGTCTATGCAAAACATGTCCCAACCATCCATGTTATTCTCTTTAAAGTTATCGTCACTTTCCGTCAACTCTGCTTGTGGCATATATTACCATTTCTAATCTATCCACTTTTACACGCACTTATATACTGTTCTTGCATTATTCTCTCACAGTTTGGTATTTAGTACTCGTTTTACTGTATGATCATAAACTGATATCTTCAAAGCTGTTAGTACAACAACAAAGACAAAACATCTAATGGATTAATTGAACCTTAATTCACAAGTTAATAATATCTGTTTTCATGTGCAACTTTGAACGATATAACTCCGACCTTAAACCCCGCTAGATGACAAGATAATATTTTGGCAACCGCCCTGTACTTTTTTTGGTGAATTTCCAAATTTTGTTAAACTTTCTCCAATCTTCCATTGCTGGGAAACAAAGATTATGTAATGTATTATAAAATTCATCAGTAAAAATCACAAGACAATATGATGATGTCCATTATTACTACTATATATATAAGGTGATGATTTCTCATTCTGAATATAAAAAAAAGTGATTCTACATGGAATACGAAAGCAAGAGAAAAGTTCAATCAATCATATTGCGGACTGTTTTCTATGCTCTACAATTTCAGGTTTGTTTCATAGTTGGCTATCAGCTGCAGACTGAAACCCAAGTACAGGCTCAATATTCAACTCCCAGTCCTTCATCCTATTATTTCTTAGTAGAAGGAGATACTCTAAAAGATGGGTATTATACATGTTATTTCCAAGTTAAATTCGACTTCTTGTCGCTAAGATCAATATTCTGATACAAATCATAACGATTCTTCAATTTACAGGTTCACTCATGTTACAGTTCTTGTAAGAAACGAATTAAAAACGTACATTCTTGATATTGACACGGACAACGACCTTACATGGATCACTTGTTCTCCAACTAACATTAAGTTTGCGAAGGTTAATTTTTGTTCATACTTCAAGATCTATATACTACCTTTCATTTTTCAAGTTAGAATAACATGGAGAATTATTTTGGGGGATGCAGCCTTCTCAGACCATGTTTCATCTCGGTGTTCTGGTTAAAGGCACGTTCTTTCTCTCTTCATCCTTAAAGGGAAATCCTCTACAGTCCTCTTCCACTCTCATGTTTGGGTAAGTAAGCTTCTTGTTTTGAAAATCAAAGGGCGCTACATCTCGTCATTGCAATTATTTAAGCATACTTCCACTGACTGACAAGCAAATTTAATCGTTGAATACGGCACTAATTTTGTTAAATATGTAATTAGATAAATCAGGTTACCTTGTTGACTAATATAAATAGCTTTTCTCGAGTTCTATTGAATAGGCAGAAGTTATTGAAATGCAGATTAAACTATCGTTATTTTCTAACACCAACATAATTTACTCTTTATACTTACAATACTCATACTGGCATGTGCGGATATCATCAGGAGTTTTCTGCTCCACATCCTCCTCCGTTTGCAGATGGAGTCCTAGGACTTGGCAGTTTCACAACAAGTATTTTGTCACAGCTAAGCGATCGAGGTCTAATTAAGAAGGTTATGGCCCTTTGCTTGAGTGATGAACATGGCCCTGGATATCTTGTTCTTGGAGATTCTCAATCAAATTTACCAGAAACTACATGGTCATTGTCGAAAAATCACATGGGGCAAGGAAAACTCACTAGATACAGTCCATAACAAAATACATTCCACAAAGGATTATTGAGAATACTGATTTTCATGTATAATGCAGGCCAAGGAATATGCTAGGGCCCGCAGACATTTTGTATAATGAAAATCGTCTTCCATCTGTATTGCTTTCTCTGTTGGATAGTGGGACTACTTACAGCTACTTCAGCTCTACGCTATACCAAGCTGTTTTTTAGCAGGTGAGATAGGAAAATGTGAAAAACAGCTGCTATCATTTGTAGAGTATTTTATTAGTCTTCAGTTGATTTTTCAGGTGAAAGGGTTGGCAACGAAGGCAGGAACCCCAGTTGAGGATCCGTATCTTCCTGTCTGCTGGAGACCAGAGGCATCTACCAATGACTTCGTGGACTCTTTCAGCTCCTTTTGTTTGAGCTCCACAAGTGCTAACGATGTCTATTTTGAACTAGCACGACTAGACTATCTTACTACTAGTGTATGAACCTTTTAAATATCATTATGAATGAGTTAATTTCTAGTAAGAAACTATTAAGCATTTAACAAACTCTTAAATTGCAGCCTCGCGGTAATGTGTGCTTAGGGATTCTAGAAAGTAAGGAACTTGAACCAGAATTCGAAAACCTCGACATAATTGGAGATGATGTGTACTAAGGCATCAAAAGAATAACTTGATCAATTGTTGTCTATAACCCTACTTCTCGAATTTTGGCTACACAGGCATGCCTTTGCAGCGAAGGTTGGTGATTTATGACCATGAAAACAGAAACTTGGTTGAAGTGGATTGCAGCAATCTACCAGAGCAGCTTTCTAGTATGTTTCTTTTTCCTTGAACGCGATGGCTGGATCTATTATTCAAATTGAATTGTACTGAAGTCTCTATGTACTTTGTACGACAAAAGCCACAGGCCCTACTATGTATTCAGGGAAAAAGAGAAAAGGCAAATTTCATGAGGGAAACGATATCGGTCGTTGGCACACGAGAAAAAAAGGAAGCTGCAGGACTTCAGTTCACCCTGAAGTTGATTATCAGGCCAGAATTTTTCGAACCTATAACACAATAATAACAACCTAAGCCTTACTCCATGTAAACTCGTGTAGACTATATGAATACTCTTTCAACATCTTTCTCCGAATAAACTCGCGTGTACTGCAAGAATAGTAATGCTAAGCCTTACTCCGCATAAACTCAAATGCGTATATGAATACTTTTTTTGCCACTTCATTTGAAATAGATAACGTCGAAGAATCTATTCAATTGAACATGAACCATCCTGAATGTAACCTAATATTTATCTCTTTATTGTCTGGTTAGTTACACGGAAGTTCACTGAATTTTCACCCTAGTTACAATCGGGTCACTGAACTTCAATTGGAAGCAATCAAGCCACTGTAACTTTAATTTAAAAAGCAATCAGGCCACACTATTTGGATTCCGTTAACATGCTTGTCCTTTAAAACTAATAAAATCCATGAGCACTTCTTGGTTAGCAAATAAATAACACTAAAGGTCACAGAACTTTCACCTTAGTTGCAACAAGGGTGAAATTTCAGTGACCTCTAGTGTTACTAATTTGCCCGGAGTGGGCAATTTGGCATTTTGCTAGTTTTAATAGACATGTTGGCGAATTCTGGTATTGTTAACAGAATCCAAACAAAGCGGCGTGATCCTGAGAGATCAGGGAAAAGGGAAAGGGGACATAGCACAGGGGAAAAGATATTGCTCTTTGACACAGGAGGAAAGAGAGGAAGCTGCTGGTCTTCAGGTCACCTAAAGTTGATTTTCAGGCGACTTGCCTATGTTTTTGCAATTTCACTGCTCCAGAAATATAAAAACATTTTCATATCTGTATCTGATTACTGAATCAAGCACTTCTTAATATACAGACACTCTTTGGGTTGATTTCTCGCTGAAACAATTTGTTACAGTATCAGTTCAAGTAAATCTATTCAAAGAGCAATACAAATGATTGAATCAGTTTCTATTTTCAACTTGCTTCCTTTTCTCTCCATGTTTATTTGTTTCCATTACAACACGATAATAACAAGGTAAGCCATGCTCTCAGTAAACTTGCGAGGACTGCATGGTTACTTTTTCGCCACTCAATATAAAATGGACAACGTTGCAGAATCTGTTTGAATTGAATCCGAACTCTCATGAATGTAACCTAATTTTTTCTCTCTTCATTGTCATTTTCTCCATTCCGTGGAAATCAACATTATTGGTAAAAACTTTGAGCCTTCTCATGAAGTGGGATGGACCTCACAATTAATATTTGGCACATCCAAAGAGAAAAGAGAATTTCCTCTAGAACTCTATGTGGATCACTTCCCTAGCAATCATCAAGAAAATAATTCATAATAATTTGTACCTCAAAGCATTGTTATAGTACCTCGTGGTGTTGCAGCAACAGCACCCCATCAGCCTCAGACGGTCACCCAGAATAGCAAAAAACCATGCTTTAATTGCTGTTTTCAGAAAGCAATCAATGCTAATTATTATTACTATATATCAGCCATGACCACATCAAAAATGAATTTGGGGACTCCCCAACCCATTCCGTGTGACTAAAACTAAAACATCACTTTTAGCATGAGCTTGACAACACGATTAGCCACACGCCTAACAAAAATACATTTTAAAAGCAGAAAAAGATGAAGCTAAATCAGTGATAAAAACCAGCAGGCAGATACTCACCTTCTTGGGCATGAATGGAAGGAGCCTGAATAGCCTTAAATGCATCTCCACAATCAGATTCCACCCTGGAGATATCCAGCTCATAAGCTCTAGCAAATAGTAGGCCTTCCAGGATTGAATAACATTCTGTCAGATAAGGGGATATGCGGCCACGAAAAAGGGTTAATAAATAAGCTAGCCATTACAAGATCCTCATGGTTACGAACCACTCCACCAACACCATAGCCCTCACCGGCTTTAGGAAACCGCCACTGGGTAAGGACAGGACCAGGTGGCAGGCTGTTGAGATTGTCCAGAACAGTTTATCCTTGAATTCCATGAGGCACACAACAGCTTCATTCGTTACTAGGCATGGAGATTCGAATGCCTAGCGATTGAATACAAAAGAGTTCTCTTTTCCAGCAAAGCGATCCAGTTACAGATCCATATCCTCATATGATAGATGCTTCTTTGCTCCTAGAATTCTCTCCCCCATGCTATACATTCTGTTAAACAGATCGTATAAATCCCAGGGAAAGAGCTCCCAGATTTGCGGAGAATTTGGACACTAGAGAGGGTGGAGGCTAGTTTCCGCCTCCTCTCTACAGGAGCTGCATTTGCAGTTGACATCTAGGTGAAGCCGATGAAGGGACACACCAGATGGAGACTATCCAGAAATGCATGCCAAATAATTGCTTATTTTAAAAGTTACGGTTCATTCACGAGTAAACGTATTAGGAAGCAAATTTTTAAGCATAATCTGAACTGCTGCAAATTCTTAACAAACTATTTCATGCCTAGTTGGTTAGTAGCCGCACATTTCATGGAACTTCAATTGCTGGTTTTCGAATGTGTTACATGTATTGAAATTTCTCAACCAATTTGCCACAAAAATCTGTTGAAAACATTGTGATGGAAAATTTATTGCAAAATTCATAGATTTACTGCAAACTCTTCGCTTTTTGCCCCTTGACAGTAAATGTGTTAGGTCCAATGTTGTAATTGGCATATTTGTGAACAAGAGGATCTTAATTGAACACTTGTAAAAAGTCAAGGACTTGGACGCAATTTTGTATAGATGAATTAAGTTAAGGTTAGAGGTTGAAAACAAAGAAAACGCAGTGTTGGAATTTTGCTAGCTGCGCGTCTGCCTCACACTTGGGCATCAGAAACAAAAACATTATCGCCCGCTTTTTGCTTCGCTATCGCTCGAGTGACATATTTATGCGGCTAAACCTAGTTTGAGATTTTGGAGAGTTTTACACGGCACATACTACTCATACACCTCTAACTATAAATACAGATGCTCTTGCATGAAAATTGGGGTTTGCTTTATTGTACTACAATTGAAAAACACTTTCATATCATTGTTAGAGAGATCCAAGAGGAAATTCATTGATTGATTCATCCACATCATTCTTGCGATCCGACAATCAAGTTTTGGGAAAACANTTCTTGTGATCAAGCAATTGAGTTTTGGGAAAACATCAAGGTTCGTTAATCCAAAACACTTGGCTTCCTTAACACTTTAAGGAAGGGATTCAAGCGCAGGAAGAAAAATAGGAATAAGTGATTCTTGGGTATCCACGTGGAAGAGACGTGTGCAGAAGATCGTGAGATTGAAACAACATATCTTGGGGGAAGATTGTGAGTCTGTAAGTACAGCAAAACTTGGAAGCTACATGAAGTAGATCAGGAGGTCTAGTGGGGTAATTGGACAGTATCTATGGTAGCAGATTGTAAGGCTGGAATAAGCAGCAAATCTTGGAGTTGTAGGATTTACAATAACTAGTGGAATTACTTTGGAATTGAACTGTAACCCACATTGTCTATAGTGGAGGTGACTGGTTTGGTCCCGGAGTTTTTACCTAGTTGGGGTTTCTCCGTCGTTATATTGATGTTCATTATTTGTTGCTTTCTTTATTACTACGGTATTCAAAAAATAGGATAATTGACTTGTATGATTAACCATCTAGAAACAATTAAAAGTGACTTATTACTTTTGATTGATTAATTCTGCACGTATGGTCAAAATTAAAAACGGATAATTAATAATCCACTTGAGAGAGACGCGTGCAGAAGAACGTGAGACTGCTACATCATATCTTGGTAGAAGATTGTGAATTTGAAAGTACAGCAGAACTTGGAAGCTACATGAAGTAGATCAGGAGGTCTAGTGGGGTAATTGGACAGTATCTATGGTAGCAGATTGTAAGGCTGGAATAAGCAGCAGATCTTGGAGTTGTAGGATTTACAATAACTAGTGGAATTACTTTGGAATTGAACTGTAACCCACATTGTCTATAGTGGAGGTGACTGGTTTGGTCCCGGAGTTTTTACCTAGTTGGAGTTTCTCCGTCATTATATTGATGTTCATTATTTGTTACTTTCTTTATTACTACGGTATTCAAACATAGGATAATTGATTTGTATGATTAACCATCTAGAAACAATTAAAAGTGACTTATTACTTTTGATTGATTAATTCTGCATGTATGGTCAAAATTAAAAACGGATAATTAATAACCATTCGATAACTTAGTAGCCGGTAATTTGGTAAACTACGAACTTTCAAAATGATTTGGCAAGCAAACTGAAATTTCTCCATTGGAACATGCCCGAAAGGATTCGAAGGGCTGATTTGGATATGGTGCAATCTGTTTTATGCATTTTGAACCTGTTTGCAATGGAATAACCTATTTGTTGACAAATTATGTGAGTATTCCTTTTCCTTTTTTCCTTTTGGTCCTTCATTCTTGCCCATATTATTCCTCTCAATTCCATCCGAAATCTGAAATATGACAAATAATCAATCAGGTAATTAACACTTGTTTTACTGAATTATAATACATCGATATTTTCAAAACTGTTGAGTACTAACTAGAAATGCAAAGCATCAAATGGATTTTGTATCCTTAATCGTTAAGTTATGATTATCTGTTTCATGTGCATCTTTCAACATTGGAATTCTAACCTCAACTACTAGCTAGATGACAAAAGAATAATGTTAGATGGATTTTCCAAAGTTTGAACCATTTTTCCTATCCTCCATTTGTTTGGAAACAAAGATTATGTCACATCTATACAGATCATAAGCCGATACGATGACAGGGTTCACAGTTGGCATTCCACTCTTAATCCTATATATAAGTTTATCATTACTCATTCTGCACTTAGAAAGTGATTCACGATGGCATATGAAAGCAAAAGAAAAGTGCAATCAATCATATTGTGGACGATATTTTATGCTCTACAATTTCAGGTTCGTTTCATATTTGCCAGGCAGCTGCATAATGAAACAGGAGCACCAGCTCAATCTCCAGTTCCCAGTCCTTCATCCTACTATTTCTTAGTAGAAGGAGATCCTCTTGAAAATGGGTAACATGATTTTTCCAAGTTGAAATTTGATTTGCCGCTACTTAAAATCAAAATTCTGACCCATCTGAAACACATTATGATTCTTCGTTTTGCAGGTTTATTCGTGCTACAGTGCAAGTGGGAAACGGTTTAAAACAATTCTTTCTTGATATTGACACTGGCAGTGACCTTACATGGATTACTTGTTCCCCTGCTAAAATTAAGTTTCTAAAGGTAATAAGTTTTACACACTGTGAATATATAGATAATTTATCAAGTTAGATTAAAATGGAGAAATTAATAAATTGGATGTTTGCAGCCTTTTAGCATATACCCAACCCCAAATGGTCCTTATGTGACCAACAACAATTTCGTGTCATGCGTGGATGCCTCCATATGTGGATTCGTAGAAAAACCAGTAAATCCACAATGTAGTGTGCAAAATCAACAATGTGATTATCAGGTTGAATATGCAGACCATGGTACAACTCTCGGTGTACTGGTTAACGACACATTCTTATTCTCTTCCTCCTTAAAGGGCAATCCACTGCAATCCACCACCAGTCTCACCTTTGGGTAAGAAAGTTTCTCGTTTTGCAAATCAAACATGGTTCCAAATTTTGTCACAATTAATTCTGTGTTTAGTTTATCAGATACCTTGTTTAATTATACTGAATAGCTTTCTCAAGTTCTGTTGAATAGGCAGATGTTCTTGAAATGCAGATTGAGCTATTATTATTTGCTGACATTTCCAAGATAATTAACTCCTATAATTGCAATACTCTTACTGGCAGGTGCGGATATCATCAAGAATTTTCTCCTTCACTTCATCCTCCTTTTGCAGATGGAGTCCTAGGCCTAGGCAGTGGCAAAACAAGCATTTTGTCACAGCTAAGTGAACAAGGTCTTATTAAGAAGGTTATGGCCCTTTGCTCGAGTGATAAATTTGGCCCTGGATATCTTGTCCTTGGAGATTCTCTATCAAACTCACCAGACATTATGTGGAGTTCACTGTTGAACAATCATGTTGAGTAAGCAAAATTCACTGAAAATGAAGTTAGTCCATACCAAAATATATTTGCAAAGATTATTATAAATACTGATTTGCACGTGTCAAATATAACGTGCAGGCCAAATTTGCTTGGCCCTGCAGACCTCTATTATGAAGATAATCTTCTTGCATCGGGGCTGCAATTTTTGTTGGATAGTGGGACTACTTACAGCTACTTCAGCCCTGAAATATACCAACCTGTTCTTTCTCAGGTGATACAAAAGAGAAAAGAATTCTGCTCATCATTAGAATTTCACAGAATAAATTTATTAGTTACTAGTTGATTCTCAGGTGAAAGAATTGGCAGCCAAGGTGGGAACCCCAGTTATGGATCCGTATCTTCCTGTCTGCTGGAAACCTATGACATCTTCTGATGACTTCTTGGACTCTTTTTGGTCCATGTATTTGAGCTTCACCAGTGATGATGATGTCAATTTTGAACTAGCACCGTTTGACTATCTTACTATTAGTGTAAGAACCTGTCAAATATCAGGATGATTGCGGTAATTTTTCACGAGAACCTATTAAATACTTAGCAATCTCTTAAATTGCAGCCTCATGATAATGTGTGCTTGGGGATCCTAGAAAGCCAGGAACTTGGACCGGCTGTTGAAAACCTGAACATAATTGGAGGTAATAAATACAAAGGCATCAAAGGAATAACTTAAATGAATTTTTCATCTATGAAGTTAATTATCAAATTTTGGCTGCACAGATCTTCCTCAGCAACAGAGGTTGGTGATTAATGACTACGAAAACCAGAAAATTGGTTGGAACGTGGTTGCGGATTGCAGCAATCTACCAGCGCAGCTTTCTTGTAAATTTCTTTTTTTTTTTTTCTTATACTTGAATCATGGAGCTATGCTATACAATTCAAATTAATGTTTACTGAAGTGTTCATCTGTTTTGCCCCAAAAAAGCCACAGGCTCTGATATGATTCCTGCTAAAAAGAGAAATGGAAAATCGCAGAAGGGAAAAGATCTCAGTCGTAACGGAAAAAATAGCGGTCAGCGGCACATGAGAAAAAAGAGGAAGCAAGACATCATTTCGCCCTAAAGTTGATTTTCATGTTGGATACAAGTTATGATAATGAAATTTCACCACAACAGAAATTCTCAAACCTATGAATAATTGTATCTGATTATTAAATCATGTATCTTTTGGCTGCCTTCTCGCCAAATAACAATGTCTGCTACTCTCACAAAGAAATTCATTGATGTATGCTAACTAGTTTGGATCCATTCAAAGAGCAGTACAAATGATGAGTTTTTATTCTTCAAAGTTGGTTCCTTTGTTCTCTATAAAAAGAATAAACAAGGTAAGCCTAACTCGCTAAACCGTGTGCTAAAGTTTTCAACGCTCCATACGAAACGGATAGTTTTGGAGAATCTATTTGGATTGAATCTGAGCCCTCATGAATGTAACCTAATTTTTTTTCACTCTTTATAGTTGTTAAATCATTTGATCTAAAAGTTTAATTTATTAGAGAGGGCTACATGTATATCATTTAAATACTGTTTTCAACACACTCCTCACATGTAGACTGGATTCTTTTTCTCCCATCAAAGCCTTATACACATGCGCAATTTCATTTCAATGAGTGGCAGCAAAACTTGAATCCAGAACATACGACATTGAACCACTCGTTCTAAAAACTTAAGTTGTTAGCGACGTAGGCGAAAGCGATAAATTAATGATAATAGAGAAGAACTAAAATATCATGATACTTAACAATCAAGACTCGTTGATTCACGCACGAATGTCGAGAATTGATTCTTGAACAACAAATCGTCCACATATTACTAAGACCCAAAGAATGGGAATCTCCCGATTTCTATATTTTATTCAATAAATAAACCAAGAAACAACTTAACTCTTACCAGAGTTTAAATATTAATAAAACATGAAAAAAATCCTAAAAAGAATGAAGACTAAATGCAATTTTGAATCATATTGTGGACTATAATTTATGCTCTGCGATTTCAGGTTTGTTTCACAGTAGGCTATCAGCTGAAGAAAGAAACACGAGTACAGGCTCAATCTCCAATTCCCAGTCCTTCATCCTGCTACTTTCTAACAGAATGAGATGATTATGAAGAAGTTAAATTTTGAAAATATTGCTACTAAAAATCAACATTCTGATGAAACAATTATAATTCTTCATTTTCCAGGTTTTTGCATGCTAAAGTTCACGTGGGTAACAAACTATAGGAGCTTTTTCTTGACATTTATACTGACAGTGACCTTACATGGATCACTTGTTACCCGACGAACATTAAGTTCTTAAAGGCATTCTTTTCATATTTTAACCTCTACAAGAGAACTACTTTTGAGGTTTTTGCTCCCTTTTAGCGTATAGCAAACCCAAACGATCCTTTCCAATTGATATCAGCTTCGTTTTCAAGATGAAGAAGCCGCCTGAAATTTGGGTTAAGTTGATCAATGAGTTGGCTGACATTGAGTACGTACCCTCTTTCTAGGCTTAAACTTTCATTTTGTCCTAGGTTACAAAATGATAACCTGTTAATTTAAAATTAAAGTACTTTTTCATTGGTAATAAGTTTGGAGAGAGTCTATGTGAACAGAAAAACACACACAGAGAAAGCATACAAAATACACACAAATATGTGGGTCCCCCTTTTTTGGCAATATTTAATTCACATGAGACCCACTTCCATGTGAGTATCTATATTTTTCCTGTATGAATTATTATATACAAGCAGGAGAATTCATAAGTTTGTGTAGTCATACGATGGCCTTTGTGGTGTTTCATTGATCTCAATCATATAATACGAAGCATTTGATAAGTCGAGGACTAAACTGAAAGCTCTTCCACAGTTTTTGGACTGAAATAAAATTCTTATGACGGGATTGAGATCTATGTTATAATACATTCATGCATGTAAATTGCTGGTTCTGGCTTGATATACAGGTTTCACTAAATTAATTTAGGTCAAAGATTAACTACCTCACCATCCTTTGATGAAGCAACAATTTCATTTCTGAAAAATTGAGAACATCCTACTCCATTGAGCAGAATGAAGACTAATGAACCATCACATGCGCACCACAGTTTCTCGATTATTTTCCCTTTTATAGAAAACCGCTCAGCACATTGCTTTATGCAGATACAGGTTGACTTTTGCTTGCAATGATAAGTTGCAGCTCGGAACACTGCCTATCAGTCGCCGGCTCAAGGAAAGAAAGCCAGCTAGCCCTTATATAGTATACGAAAGTCAAGTAGTAACTTCCGGAGTGAATGTGTGCATCAAGGCAAGAAAGCCAGCTAGCCCTTATAGTGGTAAACCAGAAGAGAGATCGGAGTGTAGGAAGACCATGAGCGGTAAGGTTTTCATTCTAAATTCTGTAACGGAAAAAGTTTAGCATTCACATATATGATTCGAGGTTAATGAACTCGAGTCATAGCAGATTGGTGTTAATCCATTGTCCCTTTCTGTGTTATTTATGTGCACCTTTACATTTTCCTCTGATTCCTACAAACTTTACAAGTTTCTATTAGAGAGATTATTTCGTAATAAAATGAGCATTTATCGGGCTTTGATTAATTTTGCCAGAGAGATTATTTCGTAATACGTTTATGTGCCTCAATCAAGTAATAATTGTGCGTTCACAGTCATCAATTCTCAGTGCAATTATCAAAATTTGGTCACAATATATCGTAGTTCAAGATGTGGCAGTGCGATTCTATTTTCAAGTTGACAGTCGCATCAATATTCAAGGTGACAACTAGAATAAATATCAATCACACGCCGTGGCCGTATTTCAAAACAAAGACGATAAATCATCAAATAACTTTTTGAAAATAGCTTAAGCAAAAATTTGGCAACACAACTCCAGAAGACGAGCAACATTTGATTCTTGAAATATGAATTAAGCATTCTAACAGAGTACAGTATTCAAATGGAATTAGTCTTCTAGGTTTTGCTTACAAGTATCAATCCATCCTTCCCTTCAAGATTCTCTCTGTAACTTCAGTTGGCGTACTGCCACAATCGAAACAATTCATGTAAGCAACTGAGTCCAGTTGATATAAACTAAAGAAATGCTTGACACCAAATTAGCATTTTCTTTCACACATCAGTTGATGCTTACGAAGGAGTGATGTGAAAGAGGATTTAAGAGCTTGTTTGTGAGGGATTAAAATCAGATTAAAATTGAAAATATAGCCGTTGGAGTTTATTTTTATTAGACGAGTGAGACCCAATAGTGACTATATTTTCAATTTTAATTGGATTTTAATCATTCCTAAACAAGCTCTAAGTTGGAAAAGGTAACAAGAGACCACTAGAAACACTTACACGACATAGACGTGCCCTCCCCAGCCACTCAAACAATCACGGTCTACTGATGATAGGAGTGCTTGTGAGATGGTCTCAAACAATTCTTCAGGTTCCTTGATGATTGTAGAAAGGCAAGTTAAGAATTTCACATCATTAGCACAGAAATTTATAAAAGTTTACCACCACATAAGTTAGACACTGTTAACAGACTAGATTTATTAATTCAACCACCTTCACTGTCATGATTTTTAATAATTGACAATGCACGAACATCATGGTAATGCACAGCACTGAGATATGAGAAATCAGACATATATCTATTCAACATATCTACTAGCTCTTACAATAAATGTTAAAGTTAATTCTGCAGAATTAAAAAATTCAATAATTAATCGTTGCAAATTGTTAAATTCCAAAGGGACGGTATATCTTAACCGATTTACCCTTCTTTCCACATTGTAGAAGTTTTGGTCGGATCAAGTGATGAAGGGGGAACCAGTCACGCATGCAACAGTTTCAATTAGCAGGAACTTGTCTTTGGGTGCTCAATCCATACATTTTTCTATTCTATCAAGTAGACCAAATTTTATTGAAGGGAAAACCATTATAGAATATGCAAAGGCCTACATCTAAGTCAAACATAACAAGCCTCTTTTCTAGGAAAATTAACTCAAATTTCAAATATCAAACAGAAATGCAGAAAAGCATTATCAAGTTATCAAGTAAAGCAACAGACCATGTCAGGCTTGAACATGGATTCACAGGCACCATACAGTGATTCTGAGGCCGTTCCAGCAACAACAAAATCTTTTGCTAGTTCCCTAGATTTGGAGAAGCAAATATATAAACCCCAAATGTTTCTACAGAAGAATGACCGAAAAACTAACAAGATATATCTGAAATTAATATCAGGCTTAAATGCTAGTTTTGAACTAGGCTTTACACATTGGGTTAACTTGAAACGACATAATTTAGCATCACAGCTCTAATTGTGTCAAAGATATAACTCAAAAAAGATATGAAAAGTTTAATTTGCTTGTAAACTCTAAATCATTTTAAGAATAAACCTTTTTCTTGTACATTTTGTTAGTTTCTAAATTTATTAACATAAATAAGTAAACAACTAAAGAAGAAAAATTAATAAACCGATGAAGTAATTGATTAAGAGTGCAAAGTAATAAATACCACGCATCTGCCGGGAATTATTTCCAAAAATCGTTGATTTGCAAGGACTATTTTCTTTTCTTTTCTTTGTATCTTAAAGAAGATTCTTGTGAATAACTTTTATAATGAAAGCAAAAATTGAAGGAACTTGACATACTTGGCTCCAATAGAGTCCATAGTGCAAATGAAGGGTTTGTCTTCATCTCCTAATCCAGCAATAACAGGATGGCAGCAGTATGGACCAAACCTAAAACATAAAACCAGAAGCCATTTTGAGATCCTCTCCATACTCGTTACATTAACAGGTTGGCAGAAGTATGGACCAAATCTAAAACATAAAACCAGAAGTTATTTTGAGATCCTCTCCATACTCGTTACATATAATATAATTTGTAAAGCACACATGACGTGTCAAATACTACTCCTCCTGTAATTAAAGCAATGCACAAGCACACAACAAAAGAAGGGGGGCAAGGAAGACGAGGAAAACAAGGCAATGTGAAAAATAACACAATCTAGCAGAGATAGTTAACAAAAATTTTTATTATCTTTTCTATTGCATGTTTTCACATAGTACAATATTTCTATAAAATAATTGTCGCTTAAGATAGTTTCAATCACCATTTACTCGTCCATTTAACACCGATCCACCACAGGTACAAATTGCAGAAATGTTCTAACACGAACTCCAAAGATAAAAAGGGTAAAAAGGAATTCAAAATATGAAAATCGGCATTTGGCACTCACTACTGCTACCATCATTTATGCATGAATTAAAATATAGAACAAACTCTGAAAAAAAAAATTCTTCCTTGTGATAAATTTATCATTGTCCATGCACAAGATTAAAAAGGGAGGGAAAGGAACAAACTCATTTCACAACCAGTGTGAGAATGCCAAAAATTTTACTGACCTTTTCTCATAAAGAAGGGCAGATACAAGGCTAGAAAAAGTTTCAGGCTTCATATCCCTCTCTTCTCTTAGCTCATACAACTTGTGCCGGAAAACAAGACGTTGATACCTTCAGACAAATTGAAATCAAAATCATAAATCAATCAAACAATAAAAAAAAATCTAGACATGCTAAACCTAAAATACAAATACTCTAACGGAGCTAAGGCTTACACTATACATATTGTTAGTTGGATTGCATTTGTCACTGAAATTAGCTCAACCGCCAAATCTAATCTATAATATAGTGCCTCCAAATCCAATCAATTTTTCAATGTAATTCAAAATCCTTCATTTCCTAAAACTAAAAGACATGCACGATCGCATTTCTAGCCATGTAAAAATCTTTGGAAATTTAAAAAGTACATATTTTGCAGCATCTCACCATTTTCAAATCCATAAGTCCACAAATTCCCGTAAATTCCACATCATTAATTAAAACAGGAAAAAAACATCATCCCAACAATTAGAATTGAGCCCTTAAAAATATGCCAGGTGTAATCTTTACAGCACAGTGTGCAAGCCACACATGGGAATTTGATTCGGCAGAGACTGTAATATTTACCTTGCTCTATTCAGTACATATTTTTATGTCCACATGCAGTTAAATATCGTCACAAAAAGGAATATTAACATCAGAGAGAAGCTTTACAGGGTTTGAGCATCAGTGGCGAGTCCAGATAAACCTATAAATAGCTTATCATGGATTTTGTAGATCTTCTGGAAATCCGTGGCGATGGTCTGCAATTGCACCCCGAGCCTCCTGTCACTTGCGATTGCGAAGCAATTCTTCCCAACCATTGCCACTAGGGCGCTTCCATTGTACTCAAAGATCTGTAATTTTCAGTGAAATATTTTCAATAAAATCACAAGAGCTAAAACCTCGCCCACTAGGTTTTTACAATATCTATGTATAAATAATCATGAACATTAGATATACACAAAACTTACCGACATAAATAGATATAGAGAGAAATTAATGGTAAATGAATTATGTTCTTCTGCGAGTTCAGAGAGAAGGAAATTTGTGTACTTTTTGGTGATTTCTTTCTTGGGAGAGGGGGAGATAAAACTAAGCGGGTCGGAATTGAATTTGAATCCAGCGACCCGTTTGGTGATATTGATTATTGTTGGGCTTCCAATAGGCTATTAATTTGGCCCAAAATAAAAATTTTGTATTGAGTTAAATGATCTTACTTTTCATTTTTCAACTTTTCATTTTTCAATATGTAATAACTATTGTAAAATCATTGTCATGTATGAATTTTACGTTATTAATTCTCAATTAATTAATATTTACATTAATTTAAACCCAATGAATCATGACTCGATGAATCTTCATCTACATGAATTTAGAGTCATTATAGATAAATTTATTTTTATTCATGTATCTAGGAATTTAATGTGTGTTTAAATTCATGTATTAACAATTACTTCTTATATACCAAATGTAGTATAAAAATGTTGCTCATTTACAGTATTTTATCATAAAAAAAAAATTAAATCATAAAAATTGAGTTTTGAGAGTATAATTTTCTTTTCTTAAATTTCTATCCTAAATTTTATTTTTTTAGTTCGTTTGAGACTTATCAAATCATTCCAACAAATTGGTATTAGATATTATATTTACAGCACTTATAAAATATTTTAAAATAACGTGCAATACATTTTTAACTCTGACTAGTGCTTAAAAACATGGAAAATTAGGTCATGAATTTTCTTTGTACTTAAAACTTTCAATCATACTTGTACAACTTTAAATTTAACAAATACTATTTTTTTTTTAATACGCAAATGTGCACAACACACAAGTAAACACCACCACCACCAATGCAACGACGACCACAACCACCATGACCCCACCATAGTCAAGTATCATGTCATTGTGAAGTGTTGTGTTTACTATCACGTCACAATTAATAGATAGTTCATGTATACATAGAGAAAGTTGGTAGAGGGTAGTGATAGGTGAATGTCACATCACTTGTCGTTTATGTCAAAATTGCTTCTTTGTGAAGTGTTGTATTTAGCCTCTGTTTGGTATCCATTCTTTTTTTCATTCTCATTCTTCTACTAATTTTCAACCACACATTCATCAATAAAATAATCATTTCCATCACATCAATAACTTTTCCTTCATTTTCAACCACAAAAAAGGTGTGATTTGACACAAAGAATGCATTTTTTTCTAGAATAATGGTTACCAAACGGTGCCTTAATTTCATATCACAGTTAATCTATAGACTATAATAACATGTAGATTTGTGCACGGCTTCACTACATCAAAAAACACCATTTACAACATATAAAAGGCGACATTTGATAGTTAAATATTGCTAAAGGGCTCTATCGCAACATTCTAATACGTGAATGTTGCCATTGCTTAACAAAATTGAGTTTTGACAACATTTTTTAAGTGAAGATTGCTAATATTGCATTTTCACAATATTTTTTAAGTGTTGCGAAATTTTTTATTTTTCGCAACGTTTTTTAAGTGTTACAAAAAACAATTTTCACAACGTTTAAAAAATGTTGCGAAAGACCTTTTTCACAAATTTTTTTTTTTTTTTTTTTTAATCTTTTCGCAACTTTTTGTAAAAAAGGTCACAAAAAATCCACATCCCCTTTAAATCAAACCAGTTAACCATAACTTTTCCTCCTCCTCTCGTCTCCGCCTCTCATTTCTTCTTCCCCCTACTCTCTAGTTCTCTGTAAAAACACTGTGAGAATTTCTCATGTCGGCTTCTTCTCTGTTATTCTCCCGGAAGCTCCACCACGACCGTCATGGCCGCAAAACTGGCAGGCCTCGACTCCCTCCACCGGCTGAAATCGACAGAACCACCTTTTTCTTCTCGCCGTCACCGGACCTCTCACAAGCTGTCCGAATAGCATAACGGTACCAATTCTCATCTTTCAAGCCATTCGCTCCCTCCCAGCCTCTATTCATCTCTCTCAATAGCTGCTTGTACCTGGTTCGTCTTCTTCCTTCTTTTTTTTTTTCAAATTGGCCACCTTCCCTTTTTTGTTTTTTGTTTTGAAATTGGTCTTCCTACCATTGCCCTGGTAAGTGAATTCTACTGCCTATTGTTTTTATTTTATATTATTTGATGTTTGCTAGAAAGTGTTTGATTTATAGTCTCAATGAAATTGTTCTATAGTTGTGGAGTAAAAATCATAGTCGTGATTTAATGGACAAAAATTATAGGGGAGTATACATTTATGGAATACATTCTTGTTAAGTTTTTGTAAATGTGGAGTAATATATTATAAATAGAATGGAATCAAGAAATATTTCCATAACATGACCACTAGTGTATGCAGATAATCTCTAATTTTCTAACCTTTCAGAGTTCTAACAACTACTATTTGCGATTATCTAATTTCTACATGTGCAATTTTCAGTACGCCTAAATTCCAATCCTTGTTTTTCAGGATGAGAATTTCTTGATTTGGTATACCGGTGAGGAGGAAAGACAGCTAGGATTAAGCTTAATTACGAATGTTGTACATGGCCAAACCACTGTAAGTTAATGAAATCGTTTTGTTATGTGATGCTATGTTTATGTATTTTATATCCAAATGCTACTTTTTTTTACAGAAACAACTTAAACTAGAGAGAGAGAGAGTCACCACCTTTCACTTGTCTATGCAAATAGCACGCTGAGACTTGGTTTTTGGCGTTTGAGAGCTGTAATATCCAGTAGATATTGTAGTGGATTTTTGAGTAATTTGAAAAAACGAAAAGGGGCACAAAGTTGTATAAACAGTCCAGCTAGTTTTATGAGAAGGAAACAAATCTTATGACTTTTGGAGGAGAAAATTAGAAATACTCAGGTTTCTAACATGTATTTGATTTTTGTTGATGATATTATCAATTCCTGTTAGCATTTTCATGAAACAATAAAGTATAAAGGAACGACTTCATTAGTTGAGCAGAATAAACTTAATTTCTAGAGAGTACTCGAGTATTAATGAGGGTTTCCCATAGAGACATGGCTGAGTATATTAAGAAATATTTCTTAAAAGTATTGGCAATGTTCAATTAGTAATAGACGTAAATGACGAAGAAGTAAAAATTGATAGCTGAAGATATTTTCAGATATTATAAGAAAATGATATTTTGATTTTGACAGTGGCATGAAGTACTTTTTTAAGAAAGTATTCTTGACATACTTTGGAGTTGTGTGACAGTTTTTGGTAACTGATTGAGAGATTGATTTATGGTAAGTGAACTTAAGTTGATAGCTATTGTTGTTTTGGCATTGGAACCTGCATTATTTATTCCTCACTCAATTAATCCATAGCCAAGGGTGTTGAGAATGGTCTCGAGTTGAGGGAAATGCTTGAGAAAGAAGAACGTGAAAGGAAAAAGATTTGAACTTTATCCTTTGCTAGTTATGTATAACATGAAAGAAAAAAGATTTGAACTTTATCTTTTCCTAATTATGTATAACATGAAAGAAAAAGATTGAACTTTATCTTTTGAACTTTAAGTTTCAAGTTTCGTATACTGAATTTTTTGTTTTCATTGGAACATGGGAAATGTGATTAATTCAGGGTTATGGCATGCGTGTGCTGGCCTGTTGGATTTGCTTGCTGATTTCGATTTGTTTTTTTTTGCTGTTCAATTCAGTTTTTTTGCACTGCTAAAGGTAATTGCTCTTTCTGCTGGTCCGCTTCTTCTTAATGCCTTCATCATGGTTGCCGAAGGTAAAGAAAGCTTTAAATACGAGGGATATGTATTGGCCATATTGCTTTTCTTTACGAAGAGCCTCAAATCCTTATCTCAAAGACAGTGGTACTTTAGGAGCCGACTAATTGGTCTAAAGGTAAGATTTTTTCTAACAGCAGCCGTTTACAAAAAGCAACTGAGATTGTCTAATGCTGCTAAGCTGATTCATTCAAGTGGTGAAATAATGAACTATGTCACTGTGGATGCTTATCGGATTGGAGAGTTTCCGTTCTGGTTCCATCAAACATGGACAACAAGTGTCCAGCTTTGCTTTGCGCCCTTCATTCTATTCCTTGTTGCGGTCTATTAGTCCGTTTTTGTGTCATTGCTTCTGTACAATTTGTAGTTTTGATAGTTTATTGTAGTTTCAAACTTTATAGAGGATGCAACTGTTGGGAAATTTCACACCAATTCCCTTTTTCTTCTTAACCCGTAGGATCTTTTGTTGTTCAGGAGAATATTAGCAAACAAGAAAAATAAAGAATAACGCAAAAATTTAAATGGACCGTCAAAGCTT